GTGTGGTTGTTTTGGTTTTTGTTGTGCTTGGATTGGCTTCTTGATCTGCTTCGCTTTCTCATTTCGCCTCCGACAATATTTAGATATATGCTTTTGTTTATAAGTCAAACTATGGTTATCACAGTAAAATCTTTGAGTTATTTACGATTTTTCGGCTTTCTCAATGAGAAAACATAAAAATCGTAAATAACTCAAGATTTTACTATGATAACCGTAGTTCTGTAGTTTGACTTATAAACAAAAGCATGTCGATATGAGTATATATATATCTATATATATATCTAATATAAAAGTAAATTATCGATTCGGTGATCGACATAACCTGGCACAGATTTGAGACGTGCGGCTTTTGGTCATAATGTCATGTAAAATCAGGTGCTGGTGATTTTCCCGATTCAATTGTTTGATAATTAAAATTTAATACTGTAATAGTGCTAACACTGAATCTTTTTTAACGTTAACTAGAATATGTGAATGGTATCATTATTTAAAATTATAATTAAACATAACTTAATATTAGAAAGATAAAATATAATACAATACTGCAATAGTTAAATCAGTTACAGCAATATTTGCACAATAAATTTTTGATTAAAATATTAATAATATCTTGTGCTGTACTTTTTAAACAACCAAATATTTAAATACAGTAACTTTTCTTCTAAATTTATTTAAATTTTAAAATAACGCGTTTTGCATTTTAAATAAACTTGCTTATTTTACTTACGCTACATATAATTCATTTTCAAAGGTTTAAATTATTACTTTATATATTTGTAAAGAAAATTGACCAAATATCTAATATTGTAGTTACAAAAATATACTGTAGTTACAAAAATTGACCTATTTTAATATTTTTAAAGCTAGCTACTAAATCTTCTTTTGGACTTCAAAAAAAATAAATTGTAAGATTTACTTTTTTTTTATAATTATTATTTGCCAACTTAAAAAGTTGACAAATTATTATCTATATGATGTCACCTTTGTAAATAAAATTTAAAATTACGATTACAATAATAATAGTGATAATAACTAGTAGATATAAATTACATCGGTCTATTATTTATCCAACGTGTAAACATCTGAAGTGAATTTTGTGGTTGATAAAATGGTACTTCATGACCAGCTTGATTCATTTTGAGAAAAGTTAAACAATTTGAAGATTGAACTTGACCAACTGGTTTATTATTGACTATAAAATTTCGTAATGTCGCAGAATTAAAATTGGTTTTATATTTCCAATTGAGAGATTTAGATATATTCAGTCCACCAATCCTGGTTTAGCAGAAAATGTTAAGATGCAATTTAAAAATGCAATTTAAAGATGCAATTTAACGATGCAATTTAAAGATGAAACATATAATATAAATTCTTACCAATTACAATTTGCATCGGAATCACCAAAATAAAGTAAAGTAGGAATACCATAATTAAGAATTTGGATAATTTGGTTCATAGTGGTCCTTGCACTGTTAATTTTAAAAGAATACTATTATTAATAAAAAACCATTACGTGTCCAATAAACATGTACGAGAAAATCAACACTTGCAAATCCGCAGTCTCCGTAAAAGCCATATAGGCGTCGTCTGAACATTCGGTATATTGTATTTTAGCACCAATTGCACTCATAACGTCAGGCCTGGACAAGTAATTGATATAATCCTCTGGTGGAGAACTATCCCAAGACGCTCTAATGTCATCGATATTGCAATTCAAATTTGAGGCGAACGGAGTGAAAACATGATCGTAACAATAGTCATCAGCACTACTGCAGTCTTTATTAGTACTTGTATTATAACATGTTGAGACTATAAATAAAGGTGCAGAAAAATTAATTGAAAGTCCTGTGATTTGAATTTCTGAAAATTCATATGAAAAATTGGACTTACGTAAGCTTTTACATGTTGGATATGCCGTACTCATGTTTGCAAGAACATCGGAAGAATGTACTGTAAAATTTAATATATAATAGAACTTATTTAGAAGAAATTTTTTGATAATATCAAATTATAAATAAACTTACAAGAATTTTGTTGAGAATAATCTATAAGTGAAGCACTTTATAATAAATAAAAAGCGTCAATGCTATAAAATTTGTATATTTGAATAGTATATATAAACAAATAATCGAAAAAAAATCTTACTATTGGATCATAGGATCAATCCATCCGTCACCAATCCCAATAGTTTTGAGATTCATCAATGAACCTGATGAACCAATATTGAGACTAAGCAATGAGGTTTGTAAATTGAGTAACGACACATCATTAGTATTGGATAATATCATTGTTGCTAAGAGAGGAACTAAATAATAGAAAATGAAATAAATAATTAATCTATATATATAACAAATAATTAAAGCCATAGAATAAAATTTTGCTTACTATAATGGCCTGCGTAAGATTCACCGAATACATGGAAGGGTAAACCCGCGTATTCTGGAAAGTAAGAAACCCAACTCTTCAAGAATTCATAAATATTGGATGCTGCTTGTTGTGATGACGTCGTATAATTGCTGCCATACGAAAATCCAGCACCGTTTGGCTGACAGAATGAAAAAAATTTGCCACATCGATTCAGATATATCTGATATGCATAAAAAATTTATTAAATGTTGCACAAAATTTGACAAACCTGGTCAACAAATAATAGATTTGAAACATTGTTCCAACTATAAGGATTTATGGTGGTGTTAGTTCCGTTTGGTAGAGAAGTACAAGGCCCTATTTCTTGAAATAATCCAATCATCGAAGAACACCCGGGACCACCGTTAAGAAATAATGTAAGAGGAGAGCTCGTCGGATTATTTCGCGATTCGAAGAACCAAAAAAACATGTTTGAACCGTCAGAAGTTTGTATATAACCAGAATACTATTATGAATTATTTGAACTTATCAACATATATATATATATATATTTAATCTCGCAGTAAAGTATTCTTTGACACTAACCTGTTTCACATTAGGATCACATAATTTACTGGAAGAGAAATTCTGTTTTGTATTTGACGGCAACAAATTTAAACTTAACGACAATGGCGCTAATTAAAAAAAAAAAAGGTAGTCACGTGAGTATGCTAACGATTATGCTTAATGAGATTATAGTCAACCCTCCCTAAATGCATCCTCCCTGTGGAATTTCCAAAAAGAAGATGTAAATTCGTTGAGGGCATTTTTATTAAGAGTTCTATAAGTTTGAGATTGAAACTTAGCGTGTATTTAGGATGGGTAAACATGATGCGTACATTTATTATTATTAAGGGATAACCGGTTTTTATGAAAGGATAATTGGCTTTTTTCATGAATGGGTAACTGATTTTTTTCATGAATGGGTAACTGACTTTTTTCATAAATTTTATGAAGAGGTAGTTGACTTTTTTCATGAATTTTACGAAGAGGTAACTGGTTTTTATGAAAAGGTAAATGGCTTTTTTCATGATTCTTACCCGCGTCAACAAACAAAGCAACACATAGAAGCCAAATAACAACAAAATGAAGTTGTAATGAGAAAAGAGAAAGATGGAGGTTACTAGATGAATTTCTTAACAATCGGAAGTTCACCATGTTAATTATAAAGGGAGGGATTAAAGAAAGGAGAGATGTGATTTAGTTTTTTTTTGGACTAAATGGAATTGACAAACGTCCTTCCAAAATATAAAATGGCGTCAATGAGTAATCCTTTTTGCTCATGAGATTTTATAGCAGCAAACGTTTTATTTTATCGAAAAATATATATATCTGTGATACTGAGATTTATTTGCATACTAATTAATTACGCTCAAAAATAGAAATAATTTAGCATTGCAGTATCGTGCGTCAGGTCGAAATTATCAAGACGCTTTTTGTGATCCAATCAATTAATTTATTTTGTAGAGTTCTACTATGGATATTGTTTCCTCAAAGGTTCTTGGCCACGCAAATGATTTCTGAATTATTTAGATAAACTTCTCGAATTCGTTAAATTCTCTGCAAGCTAATTTATTAATGATGCAGTGCGTAAAGTTTGATATCTAAAATTGGTAGATTTCAATTCCATCTTAAGAAATGGGTTTTATTACATATTTTAGGAAAAAAAAAATCATAAACCTCACGTTTTTTTATTATTAACTTTACGGTTAAAAAAGTTTTTAAAGTTGGCTTCAATTATCGGGTTAATCCCGATTTTTAAGACTATTTATCCTAAAAATGTCTAATTAAAGGTTCTTAAGCTTCTGAAGGAATTGAACGAACGAAATGTAATATATGTAGCCACCGTTAAGTTACGTTTAATTACGAATTTATAAATTAGTATCAACAACATCGTGTAACATTAGGATATTTTCAACTATGTAAATTAAAATTATGTGTACATTATAAAATTTAATTATTATTAATGTTTTTTTTTACACTTTTACGTATAAAGAGTCAGTTTGAAATTTAAAATTGACGTAAATTTTGTTATAAATTTTGTTATAAATAGATTCTTAATATACTGTATAAAAAATAGTGGATAAACAAATAATCCGATCGCTATCCCAATCATTATATTCACGAAACCCCCCATTAATGTACGTAGTGCAAGAATCCTTAATAATAGTGGCTAAATTTTAAGGCTACGCTGTATAACCTTATACAAGAATTAAGCTATATGTGAATAATTTTAATATTTTAAAATCTTTTTTATAATTCTGGCCAGAATTATAATAATTTTGTTCAGAATTATGGTGGCTAAATTTTAATTTTATTAAATAGTTAACTTTAAAGCTTTATAAAAATATATATCAAAATATTAAAATCAAATTTTATAACTTTATTCTTTAAAAGAAAAATTGGTTTAGCTATACTAACTATATTAGTTATTATTCTCCAATATGGTGATAAGTAGGGTTCCTCAAACTCAAATCGAATCAAATATTAGGCCAATTTGAATTTGATCAAATCAAATTTGTCTTGATTTGAATTTGATTTGATTTTAAAAACTTGGATTTGAATTTGATTTGTATTTGAATTTTAATAATAGTTTTTTAAATCAAATCAAATATTTGTCAAATCAAATCAAATATAACAATATTTGAATTTGATTTGATTTGAAATTTCTATATTTGAATTTGATTTGAGTTCAAATATTTGATCAAATCAAACCAAATCAAATCAAATTGCAAAACCTTAGTAATAAGGACCCAGGCATGTTTTACAAATACTTTTAGTACTAAGTATAGTTGAACAGTTTTTTTTTTTTTAATGTTTAAGATAAGACCTTGCTCTTATCTTTATTAAACTTAATGAAAACTTTTTACATGATTAGAAAAGGTTTTATATTTTAAGTCTAGTATTAAGAATAAGAACTCAGATATCTGAGAAAATATAAAGAGTAAATCTAGATATTTATCTACAGCTTAAATTTACCAGAGTGGCTAAAGCTTATCTAGATTTAGGATAGATTAAAAATATGTAAAGAGTATATCTGATATTTAATCCAGTTAGAATACCAATATATTACTTTTGAAAAAGGTGTATTAGAAATAGTGTTTGAAGTTTTGGCTATAGTGGGTATATTGTTTAAGAGTTTAGATAGTACAGGTAGTTGGGTTATAATAATAATTAAGGTTGTGGTTTAGAGCTACAATAAGGAATTTAAATATTTGAGTAAAGTTGTTTGTTGATGTGAAAGAGAAGTTGTATACAGATAGAGTTAGCTATTTGATTAGATATAGTAAATTTATATATTGTATAAATAATATCAAATAGGACAAGACCAAAAAGTATAGAGAAAATAAAAAATTTATTAAAAAAGCTATATATTAGAAGGCTGTCAAGGTTTGTAATTTGGTTATGCAAAAGATTAATTTGATATGAAAAGGCTTGAAGCTTGTTAGCAGTTAAGATTTGTTATAAGGAGTTTTGTATAAGTGAGTAGAGTTGATAAGGATATAAGCATATAGCCCAGTATAGTGAAATACTTATTTGTTGACATATATGGCAAGTATTTAGGTAGAGAGAGTTTCTTTTGTGCAGTATATAAAAAATAGAAAGTTCATTAGTAAGAAGTTTAACTCTAAATGTTTTAAGAGTGAAGGACTAAAAGCTATAGGCAAAGTTAGAGACTTTTTTGTTATTGTTAAGATAAAGCCAGGTTGTATTCTAGTTTATATACTAGGAAATTTGTATCCATGATTAAAACCAGTTTTGTAATAACCAGAGAACAAAAATATTTGCATAATATATAGTCTAAATGCAATGGCATGCTGGAAGTTCAAGATAAGAGTTTTCTAAATAAAGAGTATATTTGGGGTTGTAGATGTTATGAAAGTTAAATAAGAGAAGTGATATATTAAAGTAGTTGCGAGCTAGTTTATCAGTATATTATTAAATATATTGTTTTGATATACTTTTACTTTGTAAAAAGTAATATTTTGATTATAAAATTTGATAAAGTTAAGAAGTATGTTTCATAAAGACAAGTATAGTATGTTTAAAGAGTTAGAATTATTTGTTTGCTAGGTTAGACTTTCATATTTAGATATAACAGATTGGAAGTTAGTAAAGATTTTAATATTGCAGTTTCTAAATATAGTATATATAACAGACAGAATTGCAAATAACTTGGCTTTGAAGGAGCAAGGCCATAGTGAGATTTGTGCTTAAAAGGTGTAAAGAATATTGCTATTATTGATCTGTAGCCAGCCAATTTCTATAGAGTATTAGAAGTTTTCAGATCTAATTACAAATCTATCAGTATAGAATATAAGATTAGTGAGATGTTGATTTGAGTTAGCTAGTTGTTAAAAAGTATTAGAAGCATAATTAGTATAAAAAAAGAAAAAGACTTGTAAAGCTTGTATAGTAAGATTTAGGAGTGCAAAAACAGGAGTAGCATTAAGAAGTTTAATTAAAGAGATAAAGTCAAAGAGTTTGCATTAAAGTTAATTAATTTGTAAGAATAGAATTTGCTATAAAATTTAATTATATAGCTAGTTGGAATAAGAATAATGTATTTTTTATTAATAAGATTAGAATTAAGAGGACAATTAGGACATGGTTTTGATGTTATATTAGGGATTGGATATAGTGATAAGGAGGTAGTTGTAATATTGCTTTGCTAATAGTTGATTAATATCAATCTAGAGTTTGTTAATTGTTGACAAGCTTTGCCAACAATAGTTTAATTGTTAAGTATAGTAATAAGCTATGGCTTAGAATAGTTTAAAAAGAGCTAGTATTATAGCTATAATAATTGGTTAGTAGGAGATTTAATTGAGAAGAAATAAAATGATTGGAGATGGAGTTGGTAGTAAGGTTTTCAAGTAATTTAAACTATTGTTTTTTTTTTTTCAGTATTAAGGTGACCTCTATGGCCAGAGGCTTTTTATTAGATAATTAACAATATTTACAATTATGATAAGAGTACAACTAGCCACACGTACAACTTTTGGTTGTCTATTTTAAGTAGTTCATCTGAGTTCTACACTAGCCGCCATGCCTGCAATCTAACTAGGAGATTACCTATTTAAGCTCTCTAACTTTTTTACAAGTGAGAGTACAACTAGCTATATCTGCAACTTTTGGTTGCCTATTTAAGTAGTCTGCCCGAGGTTCCACACTAGCTGCCATATCTGCAACCCAACTAGGGGATTACCTATTTAAACTCTCTGATCACAACCGGCCCGCTATCTCTTACCTAACCAAGGTGTAACTCACTAATCATATGCTAGATTTTGCAACACCTATAGATTTCGCACCTACCTTAGGACTTACTAGCATTAGCTAGTCTATCCACAAGATAAACATAACAGGCGGTACATGTCCCATACATGTATTCACCTGCATGTTCGGTAACTTTTTCCTAATCTAGTACCTGTTGTGTTGCCGCCACCGGGTTTGTATCTCGAGCTATCTTTTAAGATACTGCCGTAACCCGATCCATATCTCAAACCACAACCTTCCTATTTTAGTAGTTGTTACGTACTCCTACTCTTGTTTTGGGTTCACACAACCCCAGCACCTACATTCGAACTTTCCTTCTTTCCTGAATTCTTTATCGGTCTCTCTCTTACTTCTAGCTGGCAACCCGGAAGAGTTATTTTATCTAGACTTTAGGTGTCTATATAGTTTTCCCTCCCTTGGTACATGCTTCCAGAGCATATGTCCTTTTCCTCCGGTTTGGTGACCTGGCAGTTCAGCTAGTATGTCCCCACTTAAAGACCTGGTCGCTTGGTTCTCTGATCTCAGTTTCTGGTTTCAAATTCGGTCTTCCTGTAGTACTGTCAAAGATCACACTACCTCCCAACTCGGGATTTGCCAAACGGGTTTTCAGTTCTTCCGGTATCTCGGATTTATTATGCCAAAGCTTCCATTCTAGATAGTGTGATCAAGATTACAGATTTCTAGATTCTACCGATTGTTGAATAGCCATTAACTGTATTACAGGGCTATTTTTCAAAAACATTATCTGTGGGATTCGAACTCTAGACCTGCCATCTGGAGGTGCGACAACTCCACCACTTCACTAAGTTGCCACATCCCTTTAATTTAAACTATTGTAGTATTTTGTCTTTAGATATCTTGTTAAGTTTTGAAAGATTATC